CGCCCCCATGGGGTGAGGGTCCCCGCTTGGGGGTGGTGGCCAGCCTGGGTGGGTGGCTGAGGGCTGTTTTCAAGCTAGCCACACCCCCTTCAGGGTGGGGGCCCCCTCTGTGGTGCCTGGCCAGCCTGGGTGAGGGGCTGATGGCTGTTTGCAGGCTGGCCATGACCCCCGGTGACCCAGTCTCCAGCCCCTTCTTTTTTTCTTTTTCAGCGCCTCCTGGAGCGGAGGGAAGCAGGTATCTGGGATTTATTTATCTTCTATAATTAAAACTTTGTAGCCTTCAGTGGAGGCCAGGGTGGGCAGGAAGCTTGGCTTCCTCCATCGCTGGGGACAACCCAAGCCTCCTGCTGGCTCCAGCTCCATGGCTGCCGCCATCTTAGTTGGGTTAATTTGCATACTTGCTCCTGATTGGCTTGTGGGCATGGCTTGTGGGCATAGCAGAGTGATGGTTAGTTTGCATCTTTCTCTTTTATTAGTGTAGATATATGTATAAAAGTGTAAGTGACTGCATGACTGAACGACTGGTCTCTATGCCCGCACTGACCACCAGGGGGCAGACTCAACGCAGGAGCTGCCCCCTGGTGGTCAGCGCACTACCACAGTCAACCTCTTGTGGCCCCTCCCTGCAGCTGACTGGCCAACCCTCTGCGTCCCCTCCCTCTGGCTGGCCAACCTCCCATGCCCTGATTGGCTCTGATTGCTGGCCAGGCCGAGAGATCCCACCAGTGGATGAATTCGTGCACCGGGCCTCTAGTATAGATATAAAGCTCTCGCTGGTGCCAGTCATGCACATCTGTTTTGATCTGTCATTGTCGATCATGAACTTGGTTGACACTTCTTTTATAGAGAATTAATTTCCTTTCAGTGTGCACGAATACATGCACCTGGCCACTAGTCTTATATAATAAAAGCCTTATATGCAAATCGACCAAATGGCAGAACCACCGGTCGCTATGATGCACACTGACCACCAGGGAGCAGATGCTTAATGCAGGAGCTGCCCCTGGTGGTCAGTGTGCTCCCTCGATGGGAGTGCCGCTCAGCCAGAAGCCGGGCTCATGGCTGGTGAGCACAGTGATGGCAGGAGCCTCTCCCACCTCCGAAACAGCACTAAGGAGCAGTGAGCCTGGCTTCTGGCTGGTGAGCACAGCGGCAGTGGCAGGAGCCTCTGCGGCAGTGCTAAGGACCCCTCGGAGGATGTCCACCTGCCAGCTTAGGCCCGCTCCCTGAGAGGGCGCAGACCAGGCTAAGGGACCTCCCTCCCTCAGTGCACGAATGTCATGTACCAGGCTTCTAGTTTCTACATAATGCTGGTAACACTGCCCAGTGTGTAGTAAAGCTCCATGCAGTCCATCATGAGCAGAGTTCATTTTGTGAGGTTATTTTCTATTTAACCTTTTACTGTCTCTGAAATGAGACTGTCTTTCAGTCAATAGGTGTTATAGTTTAAATGGCAATGCTTTTTCTTTCCTAGTACCTCAGGAAATAGTGATGTATCTTGTAATCAGTGGCATCATAAAGGGAAGGGATACAGTATTAATTGTTTCCATTATGATAATGTTGTGGATTATATGTAAGATTTCTGCTAAGGAAATATTATGGGATGTTGCCTTCTGGCCTTGAGTTTCCATGATTCTAGATCAGCCGTGGGCAAACTATGGCCCGCGGGTTGGATCCGGCCCGTTTGAAATGAATAAAACTAAAAAAAAAAAAGACCGTACCTTTTATGTAATGATGTTTACTTTGAATTTATATTAGTTCACACAAACACTCCATCCATGCTTTTGTTCCAGCCCTCCGGTCCAGTTTAAGAACCCATTGTGGCCCTCGAGTCAAAAAGTTTGCCCACCCCTGTTCTAGACTAATGTAGTCAGTGTTCCCAAAGAATCTTAGGACAGCAAAATTTTCCTCACCAGTGAACTAGAAAAACAACTATGAGTGTGTACAGTTAGGAGAGATCATGCTTGTGAGTAGTGTTGTCTTCAGAGAAAATGTTAGTCTCTGGGAGATATTTCACTTGTGTGAAGTGTTTCCTGGTTATAACGCCCCTGCTTTCACAATTTGTTTGATTTTGTTTTGTTTTAAGGTGCTCTACAGACTGTGATTTACTTTAATATAAAAACAAATAACCCTAGCCGGTTTAGCTCAGTGGATGGAACATCGGCCTGTGGACTGAGGGGTCCCAGGATCGATTCCGTCGGGGGCATGTACCTTGGTTGTGGGCACATCCCCAGTAGGAGGTGTGCAGGAGGCAGCTGATCGATGTTTCTCTCTCATCGATGTTTCTAACTCTCTAACCCTCTCCCTTCCTCTCTGTAAAAAATCAATAAAATATATTAAAAAAAATAAAAATAAAAACAAGTAGCTCATAGAAGCCATTTGAACCTTGAACATCTCTGATAAATCCTAGCTGTCATATAAGGGAAACTGATTCTGTGTTTTTCCTAGAGATGCCATGAAATCTGTTGACCTTCACTGTAGGATCTTCCTTTCCTTCCTTGATTATAGGCCATGGAATCTCTCTGCTAAAAGGATGGGAGTAGAACCCAGATATATTGAGGGCAGCTAGACTGAAAATAACAAGTGAACCAAGAGTATAATATTTTCCTATGAGAGTGTTAACAACAGAGTAGAACTTTAGGTTTCTCCTTTTGGTTACCTGGGAGAGTTGGCTTGGTTTTTAGACAGCTGTTTTTTTTGTTTTGTTTTTTAATCCTCACCTGAACACATGCTTAGACAGACAGACAGACAACCTTTTGGTGCACAGGACGATTCTCAACCAACTGAGCCATTCTGGCTGGTCTGTACCAGATGGTTTTCATTCAAAATATAAAACAAAAAAAGGAATTGGGCCTCCCCTTAGACCAGTGGTTCTCAACCTGTGGGTCACAACCCCTTTGGCGGTCGAACGACCCTTTCACAGGGGTCGCCTATGACCATCCTGCATATCAGATATTTACATTATGATTCATAACAGTAGCAACATTACAGTTATGAAGTAGCAACGAAAATAATTTTATGGTTGGGTCACAACATGAGGAACTGTATTTAAAGGACCAGAAGGTTGAGAACCACTGCCTTAGACTTTAAGGGAGGCAAGAATATTAAAGTGAGAATGACCATGTTGGGATGATTCAGCCACATCTTTGTGGATTTCCTGGATGTGACTTCATTTTATACAGCATGCCTTCTTTTGAAATACTTGTTCCAGATTGCATTCCAATTTATTTGCTTAAAATATTTTCTTTCTTTTTTTTTTTAAAATATATTTTATTGATTTTCCACAGAGAGGAAGGGAGAGAGATAGAGAGTTAGAAACATCGATGAGAGAGAAACATCGATCAGCTGCCTCCTGCACATCTCCTACTGGGGATATGCCAGCCACCCAGGTACATGCCCTCGACCGGAATCGAACACGGGACCTTTCAGTCCGCAGGCCGACGCTCTATACACTGAGCCAAACCGGTTTTAGCTGCTTAAAATATTTTCACATTTTGGTTTTAATTTTTATAGATTGCTCCAGTTGTGCCAGCGAACTATGGCCCTTCCAGTAGGACGAGGGATGTTTACCTTGTTTTCATACCATCCTGTTCCAACGGAACCATTGCCTATTCCTAAGTTGAATTTGACAGGTATGTTAAATTCTGGGCTCAATGAGAAAGGAAATGAAATGCTCTTTTTATCTTTAGTGTTCTTACATATTGTTAATAGCTGTTCTAGTGGTTATTGCTGCTCAAATAGCAAATTGGCCTAAACGTTGAGGGAATTAGAACGTAGCCCATTACTAATTTTTGCTTTTAATGAGACCATTTCAAGATACAGAAAGGTAATTGGAAAAGTTTAGAAATATATTATGGATAATGGTAATATTATTAAACATTAAACAATCTTAAAGTATAATATGTAGAAGTATTTAGTCTTAAAATGTCTTATGTCTTTTATGAACATACTAGAGGCCCAGTGCATGGATTTATGCACCGATGGGGTACCTCAGTCTGGCCTGTGCCCTCTTGCAATCTGGGACCCCTCGGGGGATGTCTGACTGCCGGTTTTGGCTTGACCCCCACAGACCAGGCCCTGTGGGGATCGGGCTGAAACTGGCATTTGCAATCTGGGACCCCTCGGGGGATGTCTGACCGCCGGTTTTGGCTTGACCCCCACAGGCCAGGCCCTGTGGGGATCGGGCTGAAACTGGCAGTCGGACATCCCCCTAAGGATGTAGTAGTGCCTGAGGCGGTGGGTGGCTAGAGAGGAGCCTGAGCCCAGGCCAAGTGCCACTGTGCTCATCTAGGCCCCGCTGTGCCTGCTGTCTGCTGCTGCTCGGTAGCATTGCCGCGGAGGTGGGAGACGCTTGCCTTGTTGCAGCTGCACTCACTAGCCATGAGTCTGGCGCCTGGCACCAGAAGGTCAGCTGAGCTGCTCTCCCACTGTGGGAGCACGCTGACCACTAGAGGGCAGCTCTTGCATTGAGCATCTGCCCCCTGGTGGTCAGTATGCATCATAATGATGGGTTGGTTGATTGCTCGTTCACTTAGGCTTTTATATATATAGATGATCCTTTTACAAAAACAGAAAATATACTTACTTACTTACAGTAGTTTCACTTGCTAAAGACCCACTAGTGTTAACGTTTTGCTATATATGTTTCTGAATTTTATTTTTCCACTTTATAATTTTATATTTGCTTAATTATCAGAAAATATTAAATCTGTTTTAGAAATTACAGTATCTTAAAATTTACTATGTAATGAGCATCCTTCCATATCTAGTATATCTATGGATACAATTGCATATATGTATGTATGTAGATATTGTATACACATTTTTTAATATAGATATGTACATATATATGTATATATATGTGTATATATATACATTATTGATTTCAGAGAGGAAGGGAGAGGGAGAGAGTTAAAAACGTCAATGATGAGAGAGAATCATTGATAGGCTGCCTCCTGCACACCCCCTACTGGGGATTGAGCCCACAGCCTGGGCCTGTGTCCTGACTGGGAATCGAACCGTGCATGATCTCTTGGTTCATAGGCTGATGCTCAACCACTGAGCCATGCTGGCCAGGCTGTATACACATGTTTAATCGACAACTTCATTTTTATTTTTCTAGAGTATTTCATTTAGTAGGATATAATTTATATAAATGGCCTGGTATTGGAAATTATTATTTTTTGCTATTATAAGTGTATATTGGGGTGTACTCATCTTACTTATTTAGAAATTGCTTTGAAGAACTCCTAAGACACGATTTTAAGGCTCTGATGCAGCAGATTGGTACATGATTGGATGCATGAGCTTTTACTTCTGTCAGATATGAGAGTGTTCTTTTCCTAATGTTATTCGTTATAATGGGTTTTATAGTGCCCATTCACCTGATACTAGTTTGAATGTGTTCTATAGGTGACAGTCATGTATAGTCAAAATGATCCTTGAAAATCTTTTAAAGTGTAGTGCATGTGTTTTTATGAGACTTGTATAAAATGTATATTTCAAGTTAAGTAATTTTAAAAATACAGTGTCCCCTCAGATTTGTAATGGAACTGTGTTTTCAGTGGTTGTAGAAAATGAGACCAGCTGAGTAAAGACCCCATCTTCCAACTCATTGATAGGCAAGGCAAGCTGAGTGACGTTCACTATTTTAACTGTTCTCTCTCTTAGAGATAAGCAACTATGTCAAAATCTGAATAACTGTTGAGTCTTGATGGAGGGCATGGTATATAGGTGTTCATTTTATTAGTCTTTCAACTGTTTGGAGCTTTTCATAGAAAAAGCTTGGATTAGAAAAGAATTTCATGCAAAATTGGCAAATGTTATAGTGTATTAAATCTGGGTGGCAATACTTTAGTGAGTGTTAAATAAGTATATGAATCATTGTCTTCTTTTGAAAAAAAAATACACTTAGTTAAATTTTCATGATTTAAAATGTGTTTGTTACAGTAATCCAAAATTTTATTCTTTTAGCTATTCTGGTAGACACCCCTAAGAAAAAAATCTTGATTTAATAATAAGTTAATTTAGGAAAAAATGTATTTTTTAAAATAGTCCCTTAACTCTCACACTTATAGGCCTGTTGTAATATGTATATTGTTCTGGTTATTGAATAATATATTGAATTCTTATTGCTTTACCCTTTGCCTTTTATATTGTGTGCAAATGTTATGTGTTATGTATATGATGCATTGCGATTTTGGTAAGTTTACTTGTTTTTCATGATTAATCTCTATGCCTTTTTTTTTTTTAAGAAAGAGTATAACTCATGAACTTGTTACCAATGTAGTGCTGTCATACAACAACATTTGAATTAGTTCGTAGGTACCAAGAGCAAATGGTACAGTCATGTATTTTACTTTGTGCATATGTTTCTGTGTGACTATACTGTATGTATATACACTGAGTGGCCAGATTATTATGACCACCCTATCAGTACTTCATTGACACTCAAAAATACTGAATATTGAAAACTTCTTAAGCAAATACTCTCAAGGTTTTATTATTATTTGCATAACTAATTCACTTCTTGTACTGATGGGGTGGTCATAATAATCTGGCCACTCAGTGCAAGTATACATAAACTCTAAGTAAGATATTGTGCATCTATTTAAAATTGATTTTACATAACTTTCAGAACTTATTTAAAACAACATTTTCAAGCGCCCAGTGAACTGTATTACTCTATGCAATATTAGGATATTTATTTTATAGTCATGACTTGAGTTAAAAATATAAAAATAATTTAATATTTGCCTATTAATGGGGTAGATCAAAACCAGACTCGGAATTCAAAGAACATCACAACCATTTAATTTTATGTTGCTCTTAAATTAAATTTAGTGCATATTTTTATGGTTCACGGGTAACTCAAGTCTGTAAAATGATGCTGTTTATAGCGCTATCTATGAATGAATTTGGTGTTGTGAACAATAGCATATAATTAGATATCTATATTATATGTATAAACAGACATAGATAAGAGGCAGAACAAATTTATAAAGGTCCTAGTCTCTTTTTAAAATGTCATTTTCACTTACTGTCCTGAGAAAAATAGGGTGTGGCATATTTAATATCAGTGTCACTAACCACATGTTGGAATTTATTGTTCATATAGTTTAACTGTGACACTAGTCTTTGTTTTATTTTTTAATAAGCTTCCTGCTGTTTGAAAGAAAGATTTTTAAGCAGTGGGTATCCTAATCAGATATGTATAAAGTTAAATTTGTATCAGTTATCTTCTAGCCCCATGTATTTTAGCAAAAAAGAGAATGAATTATTTTAAGCAATTAAGGTTTTTCCACCTTGCATCGAGTTTGACTCACATGTATAAAAGTTTCAGAACTCATAGTAAGCTAATATTAAGGATTTCAAACATAGAAAAAACAGTCTCTGTTTTCAAAAATCTAAATTTAACCACTTTGGTTTTGTATATTTCTATTCTCTCAGTTTTAAATTTGTTTGCCTGAATAGGGCGCGCCCCTCCTCGGAACACAACAGTAGACCTTAACAGTGGGAACATTGATGTGCCTCCCAACATGACAAGCTGGGCCAGTTTTCATAATGGTGTGGCTGCCGGACTGAAGATAGCCCCGGCCTCCCAGATCGACTCCGCGTGGATTGTTTACAATAAGCCCAAGCATGCTGAGTTAGCCAATGAGTATGCTGGCTTCCTCATGGCCCTGGGACTGAATGGGCACCTCACCAAGCTGGCCACTCTCAATATCCACGACTATCTGACGAAGGTGAGAAAGGTGGTGCTCCCAGCTCTTGGGATAGTGCCTCACCTGGGCTGTTGCAGTATCTTCTAATTGTTCTATTTGCTCTTCCTTCTTTATACTTTTACTTGTAAATCCATTCTTTTCATAGCAGACAGGGTAATCTTTCTAAAGTGTAAACTGGAATATATCACTTCCCTGGTCAGAACTGTGTAATGGTCTTCCATTGCTCTTAAGGTACATTTAAGAGCCTCGTGATCCTACTCACTTCTCCAGCCTTACTTTGTACCACTCTTTTCCCCTGCTACCACCTTCCAACCGTGGGGACTGGCTATTTTTACTCCTTGGCATAAACTCTTCCTCTGGCATAAACTCTGCCACTTTTAAGCTATAAAAAATCATCTATTTTTAAAAATATATTTTTATTGATTTCAAAGAGAGGGACAGAGAGAAACATCCATGATGAGAGAGAATCATCGATCGGCTGCCTCCTGCACCCCCTCTACTAGTGATCGAGCCTGCAGCCGGGGCATGTGCCTTCACCAGGAATCAGACTGTGACCTCCTGGTTCATGGGTCGATGCTCAACCACTAAGCCACATCGGCTGGGCAAAATTCACCTATTTTAAGTATATAATTTAGTAGTTTTTAGTATATTCACAGATTTTAGAACATTTTACAACCTTGTAATGGAACCTCATACCCTCTGTTCCTCTCTCCCTTCGGTCCCTAACAACCACTGATGTGCTTTCTGTGGATGTGGATTTGCTCATTCTGGACCTTTCATATACATGGAATCATACAATATGTGGCCTTTTATGACTGGCTGCTTTCCCTTAGCAGAATGTTTTTAAGGTTCGACCATGTTATTTCTTATATCAGCACTTAATTTCTTTTTATTGCTGAATAGAAGCTCTGTTGTATGGATATACTGCATTTTATTTATCCTTTCATCAGTTGATAGATATTTGGGTTATTTCTACTTTCTGGCTATTATGAATAATGTTGGTATCAGCATGTACATGTCTTTATGTAGACTTATATTTTCATTTCTCATGGGCATATTGCTAGAAGTGGAATTGCTGCATCATATGGTTACCCTTTATTTAAATTTTTGGGGGTTCCCAAACTGTTTTTCAGAGTGGGTGCACCATTTTTCAGTTGCACCAGCAGTATCTGGGAGTTCCAATTTCTCCACAGTATCTCATTGTGGTTTTGGCTTGCATTTCCCTAATGCCTAATGATCTTGAGTATCTTTTCCTGTGTTCATAGGCTATTTATAAGTTTTCTTTGGAGAAATATCTATTCATATACTTATTATTTTAACTGGGTTATCGTATTGAGTTGTAAATCTTTGTATATTCTGGATAGTAGTCCATTAACAGATAAAATATTTGTACATTTTCCTCCCATTCTTTCAGTTGTTTTTCACTTTGTGATGGCATCTTTGAAACACATATGTTTTAGTTTTGACCAAGTTCAGTTCACTTCTTCTTTCTTTGGTTGCTATACTTTGTGTCGTATCCAAGTCATTGCCTAATCCAAGGTCACGAAGACTTACACCTATGTTTAGGGCACATGTTTTATAGTTTTATTTATTTATGTAAATTAGTTTTATAGTTTTAGCCTCTACATTGAGTTATGTGGTCAATTTACAGTAATATTTGTACGTAATATAAAGAAGGGGTCCAACTTCATTCTTTGGCATGTGGCTCTCCACTTATCAGAGCACTGTGTTTTGAAAAGACTCCTTTTCCCATTGGATTGTGTCAGCACCCTTGTTAGTAATCCATGTGAGGGTTTGTTTCTGGAACAACATGTACATGTTGTTCTCTCACCTGACATTCTCCCTTTCTAAAGTTGAGGGCCTCCCTTTCTGCCGCTTTCCTGGCTAATTTACACTCATCCTTCAGGTTCCATTGTGAATATTTCTTTTTTAAAGATTCCTAAAAAAAAAAAAAAAAGATTCCTAATAATTCTTCAGCCCCTCCTAATCTAAATTAGGCACCTTAATAATACTCTTTCATATTACTTTGTACTTTTTCAATGTATTACTTTTTCTTTTTTTAAAACATATCTATTGATTTCAGAGAGGAAGGGAGAGGGAGAGAGAGAGAGAGAAACATCAATGATTTGAGTGAATCACTGACTGGCTGCCTCCTCCATGTCCCCTACTGGGGATCTAGTCAGCAGCGCAGGTATGTGCCCTTGACTAGAATTGAACCTGGGGCCCTGAGTCTGCATGCCGACACTCTGTCCACTGAGTCGAACCAGCTAGGGCTCAATGCATACTTGTTAATAGTATAGTTGTATGTTTTTATTTTAACACTTTTTCCCCATTAGAGCACTAGCTTCATGAGGGCAAGGACCACGTCTGTGTGGTTTGCTATTGTGTTCTTGGTGCCTTTCACTGTGCCTGTCACATAAAAGTACTTGTTGAAAGTACTGTTTTATTTAAAACTTGGTATCTGTTTTGGGAGTAGCTTAAGTTTCTCCTCTCTATCTTAGGGTCATGAAATGACAAGCATTGGACTATTACTTGGTGTTTCTGCTGCTAAGCTGGGCACTATGGATATGTCCATTCCCGGCTGCT